GCGAGGTGTGTTTACCTCTGTTCACAGCTGCTCTGGGCACATCGTTGTCCTCTGACGTTCTGGTGCCCACGATTCCAAGTGGATGCTGAGCAGCTGAGGAGAGTTCAGAGATGAACCCAAAAAACTGTTGGCCTAAGGGAAAAAGGATTGAATGCGTTTAAACTGTTTTGTTGAACTAAAAATGAGGAGTGACTTGATCGTAGCCTTGCTGCCTTCAGAGGATGCCATGATGGAAAGCAAAGAGCTGTTGAATTAAACAGGCAAATTTACCACAGAGCGCCGTGTCTGCAGCTTGAATCCAGCCTAGACTAGAAATTAGGAACACTTCTTTGGTAAGGAGCAAAGTTGGAAAAAGTCCAAAACATTGGAAAGTGTGCAGTTTGCTCTTTCAGATGAATTAGGCTCTGTTTCCCTAACCTTGTTAGTTTTGTTTTCCTGTGTTTTCATACATTGTTCTACCCTTGTGTCATCAGCTTTTTTGGTCTCCGGGATTTTTCTGGCAGTTTTAAGAAACTGATAGCTTAGTCTTGAGAACTGTGTGTATCATAAAAGGTACCGTCCTGTCCTTGCCACTGCTGATCTCCCAGCCTGCCTGACTTTCAGAGAGCTTCAGGAAGCATGACATCAGTCTGCATTTACCTTGAGTTCAGAGGCTGGATGTATGTAGGTGGGGGAAGTGCAGCACACTGACCTTTCCCTGGGCTCCTCATACAGATACTGCCCTTCCCCGAGCTGCCTCTGTTCTTTCCACATACGTGCCATGACTTCAGGACCCTGGTCTAGAAGGCTTACACACAGGAGAGAATCGGTCTGTATCTAAAGGAAATTCTGTAATGGATGCCATGGCTCTTGAAATGATGGTTCAGAAATCATAATTTCTCTAGTCTGTCGAAATTATTGTCTGCTTCAGTGTGTTTTGTATGGCTGTAACAACAGCCACAATCTAAGCAACAAAAGACACAGCTAATGTTGTATCAATGGTGATGGATGAATGAGCCTCGTGTAAATTTGTGTTTGATCTCAGCATGGTACTGAAAACTTCTTAACAGGGTTTGTAAAGCAGAATACAGAAATGCAACCACAATGGGAGTGCTAACTCATGTGAAAGTTGTGTCTCCTTAAAGAATGAATGCAGTCCTTAAGTTCTGATGGCAGGTTTTGTTGGTACAGTGAGTCACCAATCAGAAAGAAATATTTGGTTTTCAGATTCACAAGTTTGAAAAATGCTTTCTAAATTTAAAAAAAAAAAAGGCAAGAAAAAAAAAAAAGCAATGATGACAAACTCTTATATAGCAACCTTTTGGGACCATTCCCATTTCCCATCAGCAAAAAAAAGTGCATTTGGCTTTAAGTTATATAAAATCAACCTGCTGGGAGAGATGCAGCTCCAGACCTGCTGCTAAGACGTGGAGCCAGGTGCACAAGGTGACCAGCATGCAGCAGTCAAAAAGCAGTGAGATGGAGCCACATGAGAGATCCCCAAACACAGCAGAAACGTTGGCTGGTATGGAGCTTATACTGCTGGTATCTCACAAATCACTCTCGTCTGCTCATGCTCATTGCAGAGAGTCATACAGCGAGAGCATGATGCCGCAGAACATACTGATGCCTACACAGAGTTTAAGAATGGTCCCAGAAGATTTGGTTACTCTGGACAATGAGCACCATTTACACAGCTGGTGGCAATAAAAGCTCCTTTTAAGACTAATTGAACTTGGGCTGAATAATTAAGGGTATGATGATTTGCAAAGCCATTAATGTCTCTGTGTTTTCAGATATCGATGAGTGTGAGAGATCTGACCTCTGTTCACCTCACGGGGAGTGTCTGAACACAGCTGGGTCCTACCAGTGCATCTGTGAGCGGGGCTTTTCCGTGTCCACAGATGGCCGAACGTGCGAAGGTGAGACGAGTCACGACAATGCATTCCCATTGATTTGCTGTTATTAATTGGATAAGAAAAGCAGTCCGTTTGGGTATCATACCCCAAACCCACTGGTAACTCAGCAATCTGCCACCTAAGGGCCCTTTGTTCTTTTTTCTGCTCAATGCACGGTGTGTTGCTGTTTGAATCGCAAGAAGTGTAACAGGCAATGTACAAAATGGACAATGCAGTGGAGTTCATGTTCGTTAGAAGCTGTGGTTTACTTTTCTTGATTTTTAATTTTTTTGCTATCTTAACATTGGATTATATTTTGCAAAAGAAATCAATGAAGAAGGAATACTAACCTAACTATGGCAAATGATGGCAAAGAAGGGAATTATATCCTTATATTAAGATATATGAAGCCAGTGGACATCTGTAATAATATGAAAATCTATTCACAGATGGGAAATTATTTCTATCTTATAGCAAGGGTGGAAGGAACCAATATATATAAAATGCATGTAAAGGGAGTTTGGAACTCGGGCTTCTGATAAGTTTCGGTGGGTAAGCCCTTTCTGACATAAATATTTAGGATTATTTAATTTAAAGCTTCTTAAGTGTATTAGCAGCAAGCTTGAGCTGCCTGAATGTTCTCATTGCTGTGTGCAGGACAACAGAACCTTGCTTTGTTTTTTTTTTTTTAAAAAAAAAAGATGCAGCTGAAGCATCCATCCAACAGAAGTAACTCCAGTGAGAAATTGTAATAAAATGCCATCTGTGATAGAACCTCAGGCATTTGGAAATGGCAGAAGTGGAATAAACAGCAGTAATTAGATCCTTACAGTGCTAAACCCAGCTTATTCTTCCTAAGTGTGTGCAGGTTTGCTTATTACAGGTATTTTTCATATAAGGTTGTAAAAGCTGCTCCAGTAATAACACTGGTGAGAAACATCAGCCAGGAGCCTAGAATGTGAGTGTAACTGGGGTTTTGGTTTGGTTATAGCATGAGAATAGATCCTGTTCCTAGTGGAATGGACACACTTGCCAGTGACGCCGCTGTCCTGCGCGGGGAGACTTGTGCTCCGTGATACCAAGGTGATAGGTGGCTTTGTGTAGTCAGTGATGCTGACAGAAAACAAAAATTCCTCCGCCTGGATGAGGAATGGCTGTTCTTCTGGATGAGAGGACTGTTCAAGACAAGAAGCCTTGTGGGAAAAGTAATGATTCAGAAGGGGAAAAAAAAATCATATGGTAGCAAAAGCAGAAGAGAAGCACTGAGCAAATGACAGCTCAGTGTTAAAAGCTTTGGGCGGTGGATCTCAAGCATCCAAGAAGCAAGCAAGCTGTTTCCTATCCCAGAGGACAGGGCAGTAAATCCGTATGGGATTGGCTTTCATGGGCCAGCTCTTCTGATAGTTCATTTGGGGATAGTGAGAAGGTTCTTCCTTCGGTCAGGAGATGCTCTGAAACTCCTGTCTGACTGTTGCATTTGCTCCCGCTACGTTCACCAGGGGAAAAAGAGCATTACAGCATCATTACTGGAGCTGGCACGTAACCTGCCATGTCGTTAGTACTGTAATAGCTAATGAAATGAAACACAGCATTGGCAGGAGTATGTTGTGCTGATGTAAGGGAATAAGTGCTGTATATTTAGATATAGCATGACATCAAACGCACTATTTGTGGTTTAATTATTATTGATAACTTTAAAAAAATCCTGCCGTATTTTTGGTGCTTTTTCCTCTATAAACATTTACTTTATTTTGTAATCATGGCATAAGTTGAAAGAAACATTCTCTTACTGCCAAGACAAAAGCCTGGTCCGGTAGGCTAGAGAGAGCAGATCTGAATAACTCAGGTGATTGATGAACAAGGCAGTATTTCGTGATTTCAAGTAATGGGGATAATTTCAAAGCATGTGCATGGACTCATTTGGCAGCATGGATGCATTTCATCCAGTGTTTAGGAGGGATAAGGTTAAATATCTTCCATTTCTCTGCAGGAAAAGTAGTAGCAGGTGTTTTGCCTCACTGTTTAGCATAGCTAAAAAAAAAAAAAAAAATTGGTCAGAGAAGAATGCAGCCTGCTCTTAGGAGAAACCAAACACTTTATTCCAAACCAGAGTTAGAAGAACACTTACTGACCTTGTGAAATCAAACTCTCAGAAATTAAATAAGGCAGAAGTGGATAGAAACACAAATTTAAAAAAAAAAAAAAAAAAAGTTGGTGGCATCTAATTTTAGGGGATGTACCAGAAACAATGAAGCCCCTCTGTCTGAATTTCTGACAGTTTAATAAAATAGCTCAGTTCCCAGGGAAGGGTTACCCTCACATATGATGAAGTAGTACACAGTTAATCTCCATTAAAACAAAAAGCCAAACTTTTGCTAAATAGAAAAAGATGAAATCACAAAATCTTATTTCCAGGATTGTGAGTAGTTTTGGAACTTTTTAATGAAGAAAGAAACAACAAGTACAAAACCAGTTGAGCGTGCTTCACAAGTAATGGGTGGTGTGTATGGAATACAGATCAGACTTTATATTCACTGCTTGGAAAAGTATTTTAATAACTTGGCAAAGCAAGGGTACTTCTAGTCTTCTGAAGCAGCAGCACTGCTTTTCTACCACGATTAGTTTCTCTGTTCTGTCATTTTAATAAAAACAATTCCAGAGTTGAAAAAAAACTCATTTAAAGGGAGCACTGATGGTGTCGGTGTTAATATCTGTAGTGGTGTCAGCTTCCTGCGCAAAGGCAAGATGAAACAAAAGGATCCGAAATAAAAGGAACGTGTAACATTCCAGGTACTGAGAGAGGATGTGGCTTCCAGCCGCAGGAGCTACTGTTCTTTACACTAGGTGCCTCTGTGAATTTGCTTCTAGTTAAGTGAGTGAGAATAACTGTTTATACCATCAGAGAGAGAACCTGAGGAAATTTTGCTGGATTCAGATGCCTCTGTGTACCTGGGGAGCAGATTTTCCGTATCTCCAGACTGTTTTTGTATGAGCTTGACTCGTCTTTTTGAAAAGTCAGAAACAACAACAACATAAAACATTTAAGAACCCCATGTGGTTCAGTTCTGGTATGGAGTTTGCATGGCCATTGGCCAAAGTAAACTGAACAGCTGCGGAGCCTGTGTCTTCTTCCAAGGTGTGGACAAACTTTTGTTGTAGCGGTGACGTTCCCCTGCCGCCTGGCCCCAGGCTCAGCGAGGCGGCTGTGCCAGGCTGTCGGAGCAGGAGGCTCTCGGAGCGCGCTGTAGCTCCCTGTCAGGCTCTCTGGGGCTCCCATAAAGGCAGCGTTTTACCCAGTTGTCAGCCAGTCAGCTGTGTCGGCAAAAGCTCAAGTTAGAGGTTCTCTGATGCTTAAGTCAATACCCCAAGCGCCTCTTCTGTCTCCGTGTCCAATCCCATATGTCTCTCGGTGGCTCCCTCATTTTTCCCTCTCTCTGCTCCAAGCCCCAAGCTTCACTGCGTCCCTCAACAGGCACTCCAAAAAAACTTACACATCCCACCAGAGCTCTCCAACCTCTGCTTCTTCCTTTCCCCTCACTTGCCGTCTTGTATCCTGTTCTCCTTTCCTTGTCTGCTGAATAAGTCGCCCACCTGAGCCTTCTTGATGCTTGCATGGAGCATCCACGGATCATTCTGTGATCCAAGAATAATTTCCAAATCCGTACTCAAAGATGCTACGTTATCTATTGTTTAAGGTGTGCCTCAGAGGTCTGAAAATCAGGGGAACAAAAAGCAGAGCTGTGGACAGTGCAGAACTGTCCCCTCTGCCACCAAAGACATTTTAAGAGAGTGGATGTTGCTGTAACATCACAACCCTCACTCTGCCCATGTACAGGGCAGACAAGGTGCGTCTAGGACTCCTTGGGGGGCAGAGTGTTATCTGGTACATGGAGCAAATTTTATGCAGTAGACGACTTCACAGCTTTACCAAGTCTCTGGTTTAATAGAGAAGCAAGAAAGCTCAGGCTTCTGCCAAATGTAGATTCAAGAATGCACCTCCAGAGTGTGCCCCGGTGAGCTCCCTTCTTGTCTCACCATGAGCCATCCCACACTTCACCAGCCTTCTCCCATTTGCTGACAGAGATGGTTTAAGGCAGCAACTTCTTATCTGGACACTGGCTAGAGAAAAACACAAAGGGGAAAGCAAGAATCTCTTTCTTACCTGCATCGTTGCAATGTTAGGATGACCATCCAGCATTATTGCCTCTAGATGGCCAAAGTCTTTATTCAAATTTGCATTTTTCTAATGTTCTTATGACAGCGGTTTTTCTGTATGGGTGTTATGGGCAGCCCTGGAAGTCTCAGCATCAGAGCTCTGCTCCCCTAGGCACTGTACAGAACTGTCCTAGGAAACGGTTCCTCTGCCGTGTAAAGTAGAGTTCAGTGAGATTTAAATACCATGCTGGAGGTTAAGTATGCCTTCATCTTGTTCGGGTTGACAGAAACCAGGAACACGGTGCTGAGCCGAATAGGAGTGCGCTGGAGCGCACAGATGTTTTGCCTTTCTTTGGATCTCGATGACGTTAGATCAAAGGAGTTTTGATTAAAGCCGGCAGCACCGAGTCATGGGTTCTAAAACAGGTTGTAATGACAGAGAACTGCTTTAGTCACTGTACAGACAGAGGATATATTAGTTTCGTATTTAGTTTTTCCCCTTGCTTTGTCTCCATATAGCAAGAGAATTGCCAATTACAAGGCTCATGCTTTACAGGGTGATTAAGGAAACAAATGCCCTTTCCGGCTGTAAAACAGGAGTCCTTTGAGTGAGCTGTCTAGACAAGGGAAAATATTTGGTGCTTGGACCTTCTCTGTAATTTCCCATACACTGAAAGATCCAGTCATGTTCAGACTGTGTACTTTTTAAAAACAAAACCGTCCTCTGTGGCTATATTATATACTAAATTAGGACACTTGCTACAATCACAAGTGTTGTTTCTGCAGCTTTTTAGTCAATGACCTTAGTTTACCTTTGGAGAACCAGCTGCACGATCTAGTCCCCTATCTGCTGCCTTTAACATTCAGCTATTAAGTAAGAGAAATACTGTAATTTAGGTAATTCTGAAATCCCCAGTTGTAGTTTCTTCCGTCTGGGCTTTTAACAGAGTAACTGTCCTCTGGCTCAGGAACTTCTGTTATTAAACTGCAGTTGGCCACTGACAATACAAACACTGCGTTATTGTCTGCTGTCTTAAATTCCTGGCTATCAACCCGCCATTGTTTACTCATTTTGAATTCCTTTTCTTAACGGGGTTTTCTGAATAAGAGAGAGAGTATTCAGATTTTTTGACCAGATACGTGAAACTGATGATCACATGAGACTAAACATTAAAATGTTATGAGGGTATGGTGCACAGCAGCAAGAGGGAGGGACCAGGAAAAACAACCATAAGAATTTGTATCTTTTTTTCTCCCAGTAACTCCACATACATCTTTTTATAATTCTGTTATTCGGGTGACTGGAAAAGGAAAGGGTATCAGAGGTAATACTTGACCTTTCACCTTTGACAGGGTCTTTAATACAGATGTTACTTACTCTTGTTGCTGAATTAGTTGGGTTTGTGGGAGATTTTCAGAAGCTCAGTATCGGTTCAACCACCCACATTTTTAGATTCAGTTCCTTGAGAATAAGCATGCTAGCTATTGTATGCTTTGCCAAATACAAATAAACCTAAGATAAATTAATTCAATATTTTCCTTTGTTTAATAAATCAAGATATAAAGACCATCAAAACCTTTATTGACAAAACCAACAAACCAGATACATTATTCTGCCAGTTCCATCTCGAAGTACTTTTTTTTATAATTATCAATTATACTCATATATGTCTCCTAGATCTCAGTGTATGTAGTACATACAGGTTTTGCATGAATTTTCTATTTTAGCTGAAGGTTGTTAGCCAGTGGATCAGTTCAGTAAGAGAAGAGGTGAGTTTTCCATCACTAAAACATCCTAAAGTGAAATTAGATGCCTTTCTGAAAAAGATGTTAAAATTCCACAGTTTACTCCATTGGTACAGAAATTGCCAGAGACAGTTTTTTAACCTGTTTAAGAGATTGTGCATGGTCTCTTCTGGCCTTAAAAATCTATATGTGATTCTAAACCTGTTCAGACTCCAGCCCCAGCCCATAGGAAAAGCTGGTTAAAATTCCCTTTTAGCTGAGCGTAAGACACAGTTTAAAAGTAAAGATGTCCTTGCTGGGTGAGCACTGTCAGAACAAAGTGCATCTTTGCTGACTTTTCTAGCCCTTTGTTTGGCACAGCTGTGAAGAGCTGGAGGAGCAGACAGGACTAGGTTTGAGCCCTGCTCTCTCCTTTCAGAAAGACTCCACGCAGCAGTGCAGCTCGCCTGGCAGCACAGGATTCAGTCCCACCAGCTCTTCAGTTCAGTGAGTGCCTAAGGCCTTCGCTGGAGGTGCAATGATGGCAGGCTCCATCCCATCATGGTCTATGGTAACGTGCAGGATTAGTGATAGTAGCTAGTGCCCAGATAAACCGAAAGCAAATCACTCTATTCACCATTTAAAATGTAATCACCCCGAGGCACAATGCAAAGGTAATTCCAAGTGGGCAGCGACCTTACTTAAACAGTCATAAAGGTTTCTAGGAAAGAAATAGAGCAATTATTTCTCTGCTTCAAACTGCAGAGGAATTCAGAAGGCAGAAGGTACAGGTCCTAGTATCCTGGTGGATTCCCAGTTTCAGTTCATGTTCCTCCTCCTGAAAAACACACCATGACATCTTGAATGACCACAGATGGTCAGGGTTTAGGTCTTGCTTTAAGTGAAGATAAAAATAATAACATTCCTAGCACTTGTAATACACTTACAGAAATAAGCCCCATTCTGCCACAAGCAGCTCTGTATTTTGGGGGGTGGCTGAGTCACAGAGCAGGCTCACACCCCTGACTGTCCCTTGTGAGGCCAGCAAACCACAAACAGAACTGCAAATGCAAGGTCCAGTACGGAAAACATGCAGGTGTTGTAATTCCTCTGCCTGCCCGAAGAAGATTGTTCATACGTGTAAACGTACAGGATTGGAGCCAGAAGGCTCAGTGCACAGATGTTTACCACTTACACCAGGAAATTCTTTCCTGCACCGAGAGCCGACATGCGATCAGTGCAGCGCCTCGGACAATGGATGCAGCCGTACCCTTGAACTCCTCTTGTCGGCACAGTGGGTTCCGTTTCACAGGTGGTGTTGGCTGTGTAGTGCTACACTGGCAGGATCTGTAATCAGAGAGATGATCGTTTGTAAGCTGTGTGTTACTCTGGTATGCAGCATCATGCCAGGATTGGCAGGTTTGGCGAAACAGATGGGAGACAGTTCACCAAAGCCATTGTCTGCCGTAAGATATTTCCTGAAAAGTTAACGCTGAAACAATTTCTTAAATTGTACACGCGCTTACATTAAATTTTTGCATCCTGTCCTTTGTGTTTTCCTTCGCACTGTATAGAGGGATGTTGCTGCCTCTGTTTGCAGAAGTGGCCCATCTGTTGTTTTTCTGCACTGTTCACGTATGTCCACCTCTGGCTGTCACACGGCCTGTCTGATGTTACAATTCTCCCTCGCAGATGTCGATGAGTGTGCAAACGGCACAATATGTGGCAGTCACGGGTTCTGTGAAAACATGGATGGCTCCTACCGCTGCCTCTGTTACCAGGGGTACCAGGACGCCCAGGATGGGCAGGGCTGTACGGGTGAGTTCTTAGGTGCAAGTCGTCACACTTGCACGGTCCTAGTGAGCAAAAGCCACATCTGAGCAAAATGCCTTTCTTCACAAGAACGTTTGTGTTTTCCATCATTTGTTCGAGTTGTACCAGTTACTAGTAAAATAAGGCGGAGCTGTGCTTTACTGACTGCAGTTTGTGCTAGGTGGAAACTTAACTGTGGATCCATTTAATGAGAACCTGTTACTAGGATTGAATGGAAACCAACAGCAAACAAGCTGAGACACTCATTTCATCTTTAAAAAAAAAAAAAACCACAACACAAAAACCACACCCCACCAAAACCCACTGTTGCTGCATGTCAGGACATTCATAAATATAGATCATAATAGACTGAATTTAATACTTTAGCCTATTTAAATGCAGCATGTGTTTAGTCTCTGTCCTACCCCCTGCAGGAAATACTGCCTGGCGCGCCGTACAGCCCGTCTGAACCAGACGGCACACCTCCCCTCCGTCGCCACGGCGTGTGTGACTGTAACAGGGCTTCAAGCTCCAGGAAAGGCACCTATCACCACAAAAAGATGTGAGATTTTTGGAGATGTGTAAATACTGCACATTTCTCTTCTGAGTAACAGGTTGCCAGATCTGTTTTTAATAGTGATGGTTGGACCTGAGAACCATCTGAGGCAGCACAAGTTTATAATATAAAATTAATTCCAGATTAATTTTCCTTTCCAAGGAAAGGTATTCATTAAGTAATTTCTTCAAGCCAGACTCAAGATGAAACACATTTACCAGGAACAGAGACCTAAGCGGAATACTGGACAGAGAGGAGGAGTTAGAAGTTTTACAGAAGTGTTTTTATGTGTTTTCTAATATATTAAATAGTTTTATTACAAAATTCCTTATGGCATTTGGCACTTAGGTTGCAACATAGCAGTGTATGCTTTTGCATACAGTGACTTTTCAAGGATGAAAACAAATGAAGCAAAGAAATAAAAAAAAAAAAAAGGAAAAAAGAAAGCAAAAGCTGGTGTGAAACTAAATCTGAGCTGCCAGTGAAGTGATTCTGATTCTGCACCAAAAAATAATGTCCTAGGGTTTTTTCCTTGTATACACTATGTAATATAAAATATTCTTATAAATTTTGATGCTAGTTATCTACCAAAACAATTTTAGGAAAAGGTAAGTCTCTTTAGTTCCTGGCCAGGCAACATTCCCCAAAGAAGACTTATTCCTTATGACAGGAATCCAGCAAAAAGATAAAGAAAAATCGAAGTACATTTGAAAAGTGCTGGGCAAGCCATAAGTTAAAATGCATATTTGTATAAAAAAAAAACCCAAGAATCAACATTCAGCCATATGGCTAGATTTTCATTCTTGCTGGATAAGAGAGAAAACGGATAAAGCATTGCCTCATAAGTTATACTTTAGATGACACCCAATTATAGAAATTTCTGAATTGTGACATACAAATTATAATTTTCAGATTCTGTCTCTGGTAGTCAAAGTAGATTTTCAAACATAAACTTTAGCAACTGGAAAGAGAGTAAAGTTAAGGGATCCTGATAGTATTTGGTAACCGTTGGTTAAACAGCAGACAGCTCTCCCATCTATCAAAAAGCATTTCAGGGCAGCCCCGTTGGCAGGTATATGGAATCCAAGTTAGAAGTACGTGGGGCTTTTCTGGGAGAGGAAGTTTGCAGTGTTGGGCAGGGGCTCCCTGGGCGACCTGGGCATTACCCTTGTGGGTTGCAGAGCAGCCTGGGCAGCTGTGCATACGAGAGGCACGTGGCAGCGGTGGGGCTGGGGAATTCACTGTTCAGGGGATGTTCAAAAGGAAAATGGGATTTTGAGGAGAAAAGGGAATTCTCTTTTCATAGCGCAGTCTGGATCACACCGAAACCTACTCATTTTGCTCCTTGAATTCAGTGGAAATTTGATACTAAAGAAAGTTACGAGAACAAGTGAGTCTGAATCTTAAATCCCAAGAAAAGGGTACAAAGAAAAGCAAGCTTTTAAAAATGAGCAAGAAACATGAAAAAAAATTATGGCCAGTGTTCTGGTCTACAGGCAACACCTAATCAGCACCAATAGTCTATAAACTGTGCCGTGGCTTTCAGGGGCCTTTATTTCGAAGGACTGACTACTTGTTTATGAATCCACTTAGGTATTAGTGAGCTTTTAATCCTTCCCCAGAGATCACATCTGTAATCTGGCAGACAATATTGGCCCAGATACAGCAGATAAAAGTACAAACTGTCAGTAATGGGTCTGAATTGATTTATGGTTTGAATTTTTTCCCCAGATGTGAATGAATGTGAAATGCTGAGTGGAGTATGTGGCGAAGCCCTCTGTGAAAACGTCGATGGTTCTTTCCTGTGCCTGTGCTCTGATGAAAACCAGGAGTATGATCCGATGACCGGCCAGTGTCGCTTCCGTGCCTCCCCAGGTAAAATGCCGGTGGATTGCTGTGTGCTCGGCATGATTTCCGCTGCGTGTGTAACCAATGGAAAGGTAAAGTTGGTTTAAATACTGGTGTTGCTTTAACTACAACAGAAGAATTTAAAACTTTTGTGTTCTCGGAAGTGTGTGCGTGATAAGAGGTGTTTCTAGGATGGAATACGTTATTAGTGAATCATTAGCAGTGGAAATGTAGCAGAAACACCTTCTACATTTTGTACGTCAACAGACCTGGCAGCAATAATGAACAGTTACAGCGGTTAAGAGAAAACAAGCTCGTTTGCTGGACTGTAGCAATGCAGTGTGATGTGGAATCAAATCTATGGTCTGATTTTATTATTTTGGTCAAATTTTTACAAACATCCACTAGTAGGCTTGGACAATGTTTAAGGGAGCATATGATTAAAAACAAAATCTGTGTATATCAGAATCCTCTTAGCATTACCTAGTACTAATAAAAGTCCTCAGAAAAGGTAGTTGGGAGAGCAAAAAACCAAAACACTGAATTGTTTACGACAGTCTCTTTGAGTGGCATTCCTGTTTGCAAGGGAAAATACTGCAGTATCTTTGCACCATGAAGCAGATTAGCTGAAATACCCACTGATGATAACTGAAGTAGCAGCATTTAAAATTCTTCCATAAATTTATGGAAGAAAATTGTTTAAATAAATTACATAGTCAAGATTTGTAGGAGATGTGAATACCATCTTTGGTTTAGTACTGTGAGGAGGTAGGACTTGGGAGAATTCAGCTACTTGTTGAAACAAAACCAAAGTTAAATTAACCTGAGCCCATGTAAAAACAAGTCAAGTCCAAGGAGAATTCAAGGACATAGCCAAATGTTGCTGTGGGGAGGGAGGGAATGAAAAACCCAGTGTGGCTGATTGTACTGTCAACAGATGAATGTTCTGCTGTCAGTCCTAACTCCCATTTTGCTGTCACTGGTGAACACAGCTTTACTGTGTCCGGTTGGGAAAGAAGCCATTCTTCCTTCCCCTCCAACCCTCATCGGGCCCTAAAAAAACCATGGGCTTCACCTTTGTCTCTTCTCTGATGAGGTTGTCAAGGAGGAAGATCACACATAGGAGACCAGAAGATGTGCAAAGTAGGACCCAGCGAGATGTACTTTACACCGTATGCACGTGAACTGGAATGAGGAAAAGTGGCAGTACTAGGGACAGAGATCTTACTATTTATTCTCTTACTTTTCTTCTAAGGTAAAAGGAGGAAAGTACCGTTGTTAGTTCTCAGAAAGGATTCTTGCTTTCTTGTTCATCCTGCAGCCTTGCTGGGTTTTTTTTCTCTTATCATCTGGCTTTTGTTTCTCAAGACCTCAGAGGCTGACCAGTCAAGTGGTGGCTCTGCCCCATGTACCTCTGGATTGGGCATTTCAGGAGCTGACAGTACACAATAATCTGTTCGCTTTGCTTGTTCCTACCTTGCTCTGGGAAACAATGGGTGGCCCTTGTGCCGCTGTCGACTGCAGAGGGAACAAACCCAGTCCTTTCCTCCCCATTTGTAAGTGCCATAAGCCCCATGTGCTCACTGCAGGATAGACGAATAACAGCGATGTTGGCTTGCCCAACGATGAGTACTTCAGCCTCCCCCGAGACCAGCTGCAGCATGATCATATGAGAATAGCACGCTGTCAAATAGCATGCTGTCTCCCTGCAAAGAGTGAGGGAATAGCCACATACTCAAGTCAGGCACGGTGCTTTGAGAGCTCCTACGGTGCATGCGGGCATCATCTGCCAGCATTAGCTTGCATCATGCCTGTTTTCAGAAAGGAGGAATTTAATCTGCATTATCCTTTTGCAGATATCTGCAGTTCAGTGTGGTTTACTCAGCTTTTGCTTATTTCTCATTTTGTATTTTTGTGCATAAAGAAATATTCGTCCACCTCATATGAAGTGGAAATAGGTGAAGATTGTTCAAATGTTAATTCAATTTGGGAACTTTTTTGCAGGTGGTTAAAGGCTGTTAGCTTTGTGGAATGCTGTGTGTTCACACTTTTCTTTATTTGCCATTAGGGCTCTCGAGACTTCCTTCTATTTAGATTTCACTTGGTGGAAATTGATCTATTGTTAGCTGTGTCCTGAAGTAATCCTCTCAGTGTATGTATCAGGAATTCTAGCCCATACTGTCACGTTCCAGTAACAAACCAAAAAAGTAATTGTGTAAGGTTTGATTGTCTTATTCCCCTCCTCTCTGCCCTGCTGTTCACAAAATGTAGCAAATGCTTTTGAAGGAAGAAAAGATAAAGCAGGAAAGAACTCTCTTTTGTATTAGATGAAACTTCGCTGTTATACGTCTTTATACCTAAGAGAAAAAAAAAAACAATCGCCTGGTTTAGGTTAAAGTCTTCTCATTTACTCTTTTAACAAGATATATAAAACCACTGTGATTAAAGTCTAACAAGTACCAAGCCGAACACAGTTTGAGTAATAATCTGTATTAATGTGGTTTTAGTTGTTTGTACATAAGAAAAAATACATGTTCTAGTATGCATCTGAACTCCTACTAATGTCTTATTAATATATCTCATTGCATTGAATCCAGGAGTTATAAAGGACAGTGTACATTTGAGGATTATACTAGGTATGATTTAAAATGAGAATTGCAAACAAAAACGTGTGTGTAAACATAAGCGTATCAGCAGGAGTCTGGCTTACATACACGAAGGTCAGTAAGATCCCCAGTTTGGGTTACAGCTCAGGCAACGAAAAGAATTCCAGGGCGAGAACTCCACCAAGGTACCAGGGCCCTCGTAGGCCCTGTTGCTTTCTCCTGGTTACATGAAATGTTACCAGTTATTTATGGCAGGATATTTAACAGTATTTACTAGGATGTATAAGTAAAAATCACTGTTTTGGTGTCCAAACATGAGTCCCTCCTAGTCTGATTTGTATTAAAACAAAATCAGTCCTCCCTGCATCTAATCAACCGCCAGCACAAAACATTTGAGGCTGCCAAGTAGCAGTTTATAAATCTGATCCAAAAGCTTCCTCAAGGCTAGAGATTTGGTGCCCAAGTACAAATTCTAAATTTCCTAAACTTTTAAGGGCTTTCTAAATGTTAAGACTTTAAAGGAAACTCTTCGTATTTGTATTATTTTTATAATATGTGACGGTTTTCTAAGGTAAATAATGATCTAAATCTCAATCATCTATGAACATAGTGTTATATATCATTTTTAAATGTGCATCACTTGCACTAATCCCTGAATTGTACGTACGCACGTGTTATCCCAAAAACTGGGTTTGCCACCTTTGTGTGCAAAGAGAAAATCCACACAGAGAGGGGAGGTATTTCCTTTCATTACAAATCTGCACAGAGATGGGTGCCTGTCCCCAGACAGAACATCAGGCATTCAGATTAATGGTTATTTATGCACAAAGCATTAACATATTTAATTTCCTAATACGCATGCATTATTATTCTATTAATGATTGGTCAAAATCTCCTCAATTAGTGTGGAAGTTAGTACGCGTGCTGCGTTCTTCCTTCTTTAGGGTCGGTAGTACAATGGGGGTGAGTGGTCTGTGAGTCACCGGTCGCGTTCTCCCCCTGCCAGAATTACCTCTACCCCCGTTCCCTTCTTCTTTCGGCAACTCCCAGCCGTTCTTCATGGGTTGCTGACCACACTAACATTTCAGCAATTTGGACTTCCACTTTTGACAGACATCTGGTTATCAGAAAGAGACAGATTATTGTGTGACTCGGGCTGTTTGCTCAGTCATCCTAGTCTTTGCTGAGTTTTGAGAAGTCATGAACTTGTAATGATGACTTTTCACTTTAGCAACCCTCTTACTGTGAATCTGTGAAGACGAGGTGTTGGTACACAGTTGCAGTATTTAAGATCCCATCAGTTCTACATGTTTTGTTTTCTTCAGATCACAGTTGTCAACAGGCCACTATTTAGGCAAATATAAGTGTATGCTAAAGTCTAAGCATATGCTAATATCCTGACTACCCGCTGAATCCTGTATTACTAATGCACATTTTTGCATTGAACACATGCTGAAACATGTTGGTGGATCAAAGTTGTGCTAAGCTATATAAATCTATTAGATTTATTAGATATAAATCTATTTCTAATAAATACTTCAGCGGTCAGTCTAGCAGCAACTACAGAGAATGTCTCTATAGGCTGTTACTGGAACAGTCATATCAATGGCCTGATAAAATTATGTTCCTTTACCAGTGTGCCATGGCTAGAGAGGTATTTTACATTTTCTAACAACAAAATACCTGAAACAACAATACAGAAAAAATAAGTATACATTTCGTATCATATTTTGTCAACATATCTAGTGTAACCACTTTCGAAAACAACCTGTTTGCTAAATGGTTAATAATGTATGAGAGAAATTATAAGCTCGTAGACACAGACTGGTCTTGGTTTAAAAAAAAATTAAAAAAAAATTAAAAGATTTGTGTCTCATTTGCTTTCCAAACATTCATGAGGGCTGCTTGACTAACCCTCACTCACAGCTGTGTAAACAACGGACTTTTGAGCTGCTGCACAGATAATGGGAGGAGAAACCAACACATAATATGGAAAATGGGAATAAACAATGACATGATGAGACTGTCTCCCCTTCCCCCCAGGGCAGCTTCTGGTGTTCTCTCTCTGGTAAACAGCCTGAAAACTGCCTTGCTTTTTTTCCTGTTGAAGGTTTGGCTTTGATTCAGTTAGACAGATGGCAAACGGCCAAGGAAAATGTATGATTTGGTGGCTGAAGTACTGCTCTCTCACCTTGGAATAACAGATGTCGTTCAGTTGCGTTTCTGTGACACACGATAGTCTTAACGTAGTTCCCATTGGATAGGCACCGACCCTGCAAAACCACCGCACTTCATGAAATCCGGCACGTTATGGACAATGGTAATTATCTGATGAGGGGAGACCACAGGCTAAACTAACAAAGATGAAATAAGCACTCAGCTGGGTGTTTCCTTTAATGTACAGCTCGGTTCTATTGGCGGAACAACAAAGGAAAGTTTGCCTTGTAGGTGGCAACCTTGCACGAAATGTGAATAGAGGTGTCTGCCAGCCCCCCAGCCTCCCAGAAACAGTCACTGTGCTGAGGAAAACAGAAATAAATCCAATTGTCTGTTTGGAATTAGAAGTCAAAAGAACTACTCCACACGTTCATACTGTTGAAGTGCAATAACAGTCAATCCATACTGGCGTTTTTAAACCTGCTTTTCTCAAAGCAGGTCTAGTATTTGCGTGCTGAGTAAAGCTGCCTTGCCTCATCTGCCTGGGGGAACGTGGGTGGGCAGGGAGAGCAGGCTTGAGGCAGCAAGAGCCGGAGTTCATTTAATTCCTTCAGCATTGGTTGGACAGTCACTATTGTGAAGCTCCCACCTCACAGCCATTATTTTTTAGGCGGATGGGATTAGAAGAAATTCCATCCTATAACTGGCATAAAGACACTGAGCTTGACCTCCAAGAGACAGCCAGAGGTGGGCAGATGGGGCGGTCAGGTGAAGCTGGCTCTCCAGGTATACCAGTGCTTCTGTCGGCCACCCTGGAGCTCTCTCTTGAAAAGAGCTGCAAGGCAAACAAAGGCAATTTATACAGCACAACTCTTTCAGTCTTGCTAATCTTCCAGCATTTTGAAATGCGCTGTTGCTCCGGTATAAAATAAGGTTTCGATTCCCACCTGGATACATGCGTTACTTGAGAAATGCCTCATGCTCGGCATCTTGGGTGAGAGCCAGAGTAGAAATGAATGAAATCTCAAACAATGGAAAATCAGCCAACAGGCAGTAGTTTTTAGTAGGTTTACGTGAATTAAACATTTGTTAAGTGCTAAGCTTAAAGAATTTTCAAAGATTAAAAAGGAAGTAACCTAGTCGCCTCAAGGTTTATCTAAAGTTCCGGAACAAAGTTTTGGTTTTGATTAATAAATGTGAGGATTTGTAATGTTAGTACTTCGTTACCGCATGGATGGCATGCGAAAAGTTTTTCGTATTGATCAAGTGTGAATAACAATTTTATGTGATAGCTCCCACTTCTGAGCTCTTGATGAGAATTTTTGTGGAAGTGCAAAGTTAGACAGAGTTCTGCAAACACAGAAGCTTTAACTAGGTATTTCTTTTCAAACTCGCCTCTAGGTGTACTTTAGGAATGCCATGCTTTAGAAGGGTCTTTGACTATTAATAGGGTTTTTTACTGGATCTATGGGAGAGACTATTTTGCCTCCAGTCCTTATAAATATTGTGACAGGACCCACTCAACTGCTTAAAGACAGAAAATCTGACTTCTTGGCTGGATGCCTATTTTAAAGTAAAGCCTATTTTCAAATAAAGCACAGAGTCTGTTAACTTCACATCTGCATTATATTTCTCTGCTTACTGCAGAATCAGTCAGTTACTTTTGCAAAAATCACAAAGGCCCTTGTTTTCAAGTGTGGAACATGGTTTTTTTTCCCAGTCAAATTAAAAGGGGCTGGAAATATTAATTATTTTGAAAAACAGGCCTTTTCAGTTTATGCCTTAGCTCCTTTATCTCTAAAATTAGGTTGTTGCTCACCTCTGCGAAGAGCTCCAAGGTTCACACACGGAAAGCACTATGGCAGTAGTTGGGCAGGGTAGTTAGCTGAGCATGAGAGCCGGGAGTTCATCCCATTGCTAAAAATGGGAGAAGGGCAAATGTGAGGAATCCCTTTGAGGCCAAGTTGGAGAACAGGTCTGAAAAAAGTCAAAGGAGGGTTATAAACTTCCATCATTCTTCCTAAGAACAAAAAAAGTTAAACCAAAATTTGTTCCTAAGCATTTTCTTCCCTGCCTGACAATGCTGCTCGTCACTGTGGTGAAACGAAGGTGCTGGGACTCTCCTGATTCTCCTGTAAAACTGATGAATTTAACAACTCATGTGGTTTATGTTTTCTTTTCACCTTTAGAATTGCCGATAGAGGCTGGTCAACATGAAGATGGAAAGAAGGAGTGCTACTACAATCTGAATGATGCTAATTTCTGTGACAATGTGCTTACATCCAATGTAACCAAACAAGAATGCTGCTGTACCTTGGGTGCTGGCTGGGGCGATAACTGTGAAATCTTCCCATGCCCTGTCTTTGGAACTGGTAAGAAGAGGACTCCTGACCCTTTGCAAACTTCTGAAGCGTTGTGTTTACATTAACAGTAATCTGCTTTGCCTTCAGAGAAGGCTTGCCCATTAAATCCCATATTCTGTAGTATTTAGTCATTATTTATCCATGGGAGACTTCCATGGAGGAAGAGTTAGCAGGAATAATTCATATCTGGTGTAAATCCATGGGCTCCACCACAGTTACCCTAGGGATAAAAACAGCCTGTTACTGAACAGGATTATCTCCAACTGATTTTAAACAAAGATGGATTCTCACAGAAGCTTGTTCCAGACGCCATGGTAACACATTAGCTTTTTCCCACAAGCTGGAAAACAAAGGTAAGCATGACAGTGTTTTTGAGTCTGCAGCTATTCCTTCTAACGTTGTTTCCACTGCACTACGAATTACTGACGTATATTATGGAATTAGTTTTACATTTTGCTACTTACTGAACAATTCCGTTAATCATGTTGTCTGCAGACCGTTGTTTAACCTCTAAATATTAAATAAGAAAAACATAGCCGTATGATACTCGTCACAAATATTGAAAACAGAACTTGAAACATAAACAGCGATGGCCAAAATTCATAATCCAGATGGAAAAAATCACATAAGAGAGAACATGTGTCAACTTCTTGAGATTAAACACTAAAGATTACTTTTTGCACAAATGTATCATCATGTTTAATTCCTGTTTTAACTCTACTTTAGAATCAGTGAAACCAAAATGCAATGCGTTATGAAAAGAGCCTCTCTGCTTGGATAGGTTTATTTGGTTCTGTACAGTCTCCAAGACACTTTAAATAATTTCCCTCTGTAATCCACACCGCGTTCTCCCGTTGCACTCAGGGAGTGTTTTTGCTGTATAAGGACTGAAGAATGTGGACAGGGGTTTGCATCTCAGTTGGGGTATGTCTGGATTGCAGCTTGCAGTAGAGCTCAGAGAGGCCCAAGCTAGCTTTAATTAAGATAATTTGGCTACTGGTGTTGTAAGTGCAGCGCACCATGAAACCCAGTAAGGACGGCATTGTCCTGCCAAGGAGCGAGAGAAGTTAGTTTGCGTGGAGCTCTGTGACGCTGTGGGTACCCCAGCTGGGTTTTTCAAAGCTAGCTCTGCAAACTGAGAGCAGGGGAAAGGCTGGCTGTAGGATTACCATCCCCCATTTAGCTGAAGGTGTGTTGCTGATAGATGGGAATAAGGCAAAACATGGCCTCGGAGTTCTCAAAATACCCCGAAACGCATATGTAACGCATACGGATGTGAGTAACTTTTTCTTAACAGCATAATTTTTTGTTTTGTCTGTCTCCTAGCTGAATTTACTGATTTGTGTCCCGAAGGAAAAGGTTTCATTCCCTCTGGAGAATCATCTTATGGGCTTCTTGCTCAGAATTACAAAGGTCGGTACTGACTTGTGTTGAGTTTATTTCAGAAGTTCTGGTAGTTGACGGACTCGAAATGTGAGCCAGCAATGTAAACATACTAATTCAAATTTTATTAGGTGACAAAAACAGCTTGTGATACGAAACATTACTGAAAATCATCGTTTGACAGATTGTTAAGAATGTCAGTTATACAGTCCCTCTAATATTCTGGTTTAATTTATACTGAGGGTGATATACTGTGAGAGGAGGTGCCACGACCACAAACCTCAAATGCTCACTTACATATGAAATACAAAGCCACTTGAAATTTATAAATAAATGTATGGGGAGTGGAGAGAGAGAAAAAAAGTTCTGTTAAACATTAGACTCACAAGTGAGAATGAATATAAAAACTGAAGAGATCAGCACTGATGCTTTCACTACAGAACTTCATGAGATAAGTATTGAACAGAAGATTCTAGAGAAGAGCGCGTGACAGAAGGGGTGTGTGGGTCGGGGCAGGAGGGCGCTGGCATCACTAAGAAGGAAGAGTGAGATCAGCGAAATTCAAGCTTCAGAAGTAGCCATCAATAATTTGTGAAATTAATTTTGCTTGGCCTAAACACTGTATTTGTGTTAGATTAAATGAAGTCAACATATTATCTTTGAGTTGCATAGCAGCTACAGGACCTTTAGAAAAGCACACACACTTTATAGGTTTGTTCATATCACATAAAAGTGCAGTAAAAATTACTATTTTTGAAAGAACTTAATAGAGGCACAGTATCACATGGTTGGGAAGTGATTGTGCCCCTGTACTCAGCACTGGTGAGGCCACACCTTGAATCCTGGGGTCAGTTTTGGGCCCCTCGCCACAAGAAGGACATTGAGGGGCTGGAGCAGGTCCAGAGAAGGGCAACGGAGCTGGGGAAGGGTCTGGAGCACAGGTCTGACGAGGAGCGGCTGAGGGAGCTGGGGGGGTTCAGTCTGGAGAAGAGGAGGCTGAGAGGAGACCTCATCACTCTCTACAGCTGCCTGAAAGGAGGGGGCAGTGAGGGGGGTGCTGGGCTCTGCTCTAAAGGAACAAGGGATGGGACAAGAGGAAACGGCCTCAAGTTACACCAGGGGAGGTTTAGGCTGGAGATTAGAAAAAATCTCTTCACTGAAAGAGTGATGAGGCATTGGAACAGGCTG